TAAGTTCTAATCAACACTGCAGTAGGACTTTGTTTTCCCTTATTCACACAGCCCTGAGTTACAGGGAGGTGACGTGCCTTAGGGTTGACTTCCAAAGTCAGAGTGGGCGGCTGCTGTTTTTCTAAAATTAAAGCTGTTTGCCCCCATGTGTCCTCATAAATCCCCACCAGAGAGGGAAATACTTGCAGGTTGATCTGTCTAAATGAAATTATCCTCAGACCTAACTATTCACTTATTTGGTTTCTCAAGTCTCTGTTCTCTTTATCATAAGTCTTTGTTATCTATTAGCATGAGTCTTCATTATCTTTTCTTTTCCATGAAATTGCACATGGCCTTGAGATGCATGTGTTTAGTCATCATCAGTTAACTGCCAGGTAGGATGGTGACTATATCCTGAAATTGAAAGTGCCCTCTCGTGGATCAAGAATCAATCAAGGTGGCGTGCTGAGTGGAGCGAGGCTTCCTACTCAGGGTCGTGCTCGATCAAATGGATCAAATGACTGAACTCAGTGGCTTTCAGCCAGGAAAATCCGGGGCATCAGGCCTTGGAAGAGAGCAGGTACCAGGCAAAACTCCCACTTCCAATAGTCAGAATAGAGCATGGAAACACTGCGTGCTTTAGGATCAGGAAAGATGTGCATCAAGGATGCTTCCTATCTCCATACCTTTTCACTCTATATGCAGAACAGCTCATTCAGGAGGCTAGACTTTATGAGGAGAAATATGGCATCAGGATTGGAGGAAGACTCACCAACATCCTGTGTTATGCAAATGGCACAACCTTGCTTGCTGAAACTGAAGAGGAACATAGACTTCAATATGGACTGAAGCTCAACATCAAGAAGACAAAGACTCACAGTGGCCAACTGGCAGCTTCACGATAGATGGAGATGAGATTGAGACTGTTAACAACTTCAGCTTGCTTGGTTCCATAATCAACATTCTTGGCACCAGCAGTCAGGGAATGAAAAGACTAAGTGCCTTGGGAAAGTCTTCTGTCATGGACCTCTGTAGAGTACTGAAGAGCAACAATGTCATTCTGTAGACTAAGATGTGCCTTATACAGGCCATGGTCTTCTCAATTACTTTCTATGCATCAGAAAGGAGGACAATGACTAAGAATGATAGAAAAAGAATTGATGCCTTTGAACTGTGGTTCTAGAGAAGAGTGATGAGCATTCCATGGACTGCCAAGAGAACAAACAAATCTGTCTGTCTTGGAAAGGATAAAACCAAGCTGTTCCCTAGAAAAAGGATTATGAAGCTCCATTTCACATACTTTGGGTTTTGGTGTGGGCTTTGGTGTTTTTGGTTTTTTTTTTGTTGGTTGGTTGTTGTTTTTTTTTCTTGTTGTGTACCATCAAATCAGATCCAACTGGCACAGGACGAAATTGCCCCTCCTTCTCTAGTGGAGCATACGGTGAATTCTAATCACATGCCTTTGGGTTTGTAGCACAGCTTCTTGCTACTAGGCCACCAGAGCTTTCTTTTTTAGGGTTTTTTTTGTGTTTTGTTTTGTTTCTTTCCATCTCACATACTTTGGACACATGGCCAGGAGGGAAAAGTCCTTGAAGAAGAACATCATACTTGAAAAGGTGGAGGGACAGCGCAGGAGAGGAAGACGCAGGATGAGATGGATTGACTCAGTGACTGGAGAAGTGGGATTGTCAGAGAAAATGATTGGCTCAGGATAGAACAGGGTTTAGAGCTGTTGCATTTAGGGTTGCTATGAGTCACAGACGACTCGACAGCTCACAGCAACAGTCTGGTGAGCACATCCAGGACTGTGTCTGTTAATTGAAACAACTCAATTAGTAACCCATCAATTCCTGAGGCCTTATTTTTTTGCAAATGCCTTCAATACAGCTTCAACCAGAAGAATGTCTATTTATACTTCATTGACTATCCAAAGGCATTTGACTCTGTGGGTCAAAACACGTTATGGTTAACATTGAGAAGAACAGGAATTCCCAGAGCACTTTACTATGTTCATGTGAAACCTATATCTAGACCAGCATGTGAATAAAACAAGGACACATTACATGGTTTGAAATTAAGAAGGGAGTGTGTCAGGGTTGTGGTCTCTCTGCATACATATTCATCTGAATGCTGAACAAATAATTCAAGAATCTGGACTCTATGAAGAGGAATGCGGCACCAGATTTGGAGGGAGACTCATCAATAACATATGTTTTGTAGATGGCACACCTTGCTTGCTGACAGTGAGAAGGACTTGAAGCACTTGTTGTAGAAGATCAAAGTACACAGCCTTCAGTATAGATTGCATCTCAATGTCAAGAAGACAAAGATTC